TTTATTGTTCCCTTCCCTGCAACTGCTTCACCAGTTCTTTATTTCAAGTGCTCTTCTTTGCTTTCTGTTCAGTATAGAACATCTACCTTCAGCTAGCAGGCACTCTGCCCTCTCTCCAGGGCTTTCTGTTGAATACCTACCCTTGCTAGTCTTCTTAAGTAAAAGTGTGGTGTGTAGAATAAAGTGAGAGATTATATTTGTTATTTTACTGTATGTATGAAAGGATCACACTGGTTTTGTACCTCCACAATTCAGGAGTTCCCTCAGAACAGGGAATCAATCTCTGTATGGTCTTTTTGGACAGTGCAGTTGAATGAATCTCACTGCACTTTAGACATCTGCGGCACAGATGTGTACATATGAGCTAGTCACTCAAGCCTGCTTTTGGAGTGAATTACAAGAGGTGAGTGCTTTTAGAGTACAATTCCCCCCCATCTGAGGTTTACCTTAAGATTAGATAAAATGCATCCAGAGGTGACTTGTGAAGCCCAACAACTGTAAGGGAAGTCTAAACAGCTAAAGTGATTATAGTTGCAGGTGTTACAAATACCTGCATTGAATCAAGTGTATCACTTCCTGTGTGGCTCTGTCGCAGTACTGTATTGTAGTAGTAGTAGTTGTGTTTTTGTGGGTTCATACATAAGACTTTGTTTCCTGTTGGATAAAATTCCATTCAGTACTATCTTTTGTATTAAAAAAAATTTTACAAGATGCAAGTTGCAAGTGAAACAATTAATTAAGGAATTTCAAGTATAATAAAATTAAGATATTCAATAAGTTTTGGAATTAAATTGACTTACAGTAATTGTGATCTGTAACGACATAAGAGGATCAAGATGTAGAAGTGGGTCTTTAAAAATTAGTTAAAACTGATCTGGGATCAAGGATAAAATCACATTATTTTATGATGGCATGGAGAGAATTAGGCTACGTGGAGACAGTTGGACTGAATAGCTTAGCTCAGCTCTGCGTTTTGTAGATTTCAAAGACGTGTTCAGTTTGCATACAAGAAATTCTTCTAAGTTTGGTTATAGCTTGTCTTTGCCATGTTGTGAGTATACAAGTTTCTTCAGGGGAAGAAAGTGCATAAACTTTCATCCCTTCAGGCAATGTTGGCTAACTGTCCATGAGTGAGCCTTTTCCCAAGAGCACTTTGCAAAAAAGAGCTGTATGTGCCTAATTTCCATGAAGTAGCCAACATATTCTACTTTCCTTTCCTATAGCAGTGGAATATCAATGCTGAGGCTGAGAAAGCTTCAGCTGTATCATAGGTTATACAAGGATCACCCAAATCCTCATATAACAAGTATAGGTTATATGAGGATCTGGGTGATCTTTGGCAAGTGATTTCACTAGGGTGTGCCACAGTTTCCTTTTAATTTGCAGAATATTGGCATTAATCTTAGTGAGATCTGCTAATGAGCAGTGCTTCTCCAGACCCAGGTAGTGCCATTAATCATTGGATGAATAACTAGTGTATTTGTCCGGGTAGACAAATTAAGATAGGGTACAATGGCTTAAGGCAAGTCAGATTTTACACTGACAGGAACTAGGTATGTTTTTTGAATAGGAAAGAATTGCTTTCCACTAGACCTCTTAAACTAATGTGCTTTACCTCTTGACAAGGTACTGAGTCATCCACTGCCTGGAGGAAAGCACTTAAATCATCAATAAACAGTCATTCTGCCCAGCAGGAGAGGCAAGTTTGCTTCTCAAGACATCCTGTGTTGTTTGTTCCTCTATTGGACAAAGGTTGGCGAAACAGAAGTGGCTCTGAGAGTCAAGTGGGGAGCAGGCTCCTTGCGTGTCAGGGTGTTCAGAGATTGATGCTGGTAGGTTCCAAAGGGCATCTACTGCACCAGGACAGATTTGTTGGGATTTTTCTGCAGGTTTGGGTCTAGGTCAAGAAGCTTTTGGAAGGTATGGCACTCCATCGATGTATTCTGTTTTTCCTATAACTGAACTTACTGCACATACCTTCTGCACCTCCCACGACCCTCTGTTTAGGGTCATCTTCCAAGCTTCCCCTTTCAGTAAGCCACTCTTCTTTATGCCAGTTACTCTCTATACCTCTTGCTTTTTATCCTTCTGCCTGCAAACCTGTTTTGCTTCCTCCCTAGTTAGAGTGCCAGTTTTTGCTGCCTTATCCTGCTCTGCTTTCCAGAGCTGTGAATGTCTGGAGAGCTTCTGTGCTTCTTATGAATGTATTATGGTTCTCTGTTCTGCCTACTCTCAAAAGTTCAGGAAAGGTGAAATGAATGGTTTCCTCCCATTTCTTTTCCCTCCACACCAAGGGCTTCATTTGCTCTTGTTTCTTCTCCCATCTCTCGAAGACACTTTTCCCCCTCTTAAGGTTCTCTTGCTTTTTTGAATCCATTCTCTTCCTGAAACAAGTCAAGAAAGCATTTGCTTTCCCTGAGTGGGGAAGATGGCAGAATTGTGACAAGCCTATTGTTCTGCAAACTCTAAGTAGGGATTCTGAGTTTCCTGAAGGTAATTAATTGGTAGACAGTACTTCTAAAGTAGCTGTGAAAAGAGATCTATCTTGAGAGAATAGTCCTGTCTTTGTGCCTTGACTCTCCGTTCAGTTTTTGCTTGCTGTTTTATTTTGTCTGCTGTATAATATGACCAGCTATCCAACATGTGTCTAAATGTTACCTGTGAGGGGAATTCTGTAATTTCTTTACATGTACATTATAGTTCTTGGTCTCTGGATAGAAAAAAAGACTCTATTAGCTTGCTTACTTTTTACAGAAGTCAGTAGAGTCAAGGTGCTTATATATGTCTTTCGTTACTATGTGAAGTTTAACTGTGAGGAAGAAACCAGGGCATCCTGGAATACTAAATAGTGAGTAGGAAAAAAGATGTGTGATGAATGGAAAAATGTCATTTTGTCTGATATGTTTTATGGGTTTTTTGTTTCTGCTACAGATGTTTTGGATTGCCCTGACCAAGTTACTTACAGAATAAGTAGGATTTACCTATTTATGAGATTAAAAAAAAATATTCTGTTTATCTGCTTAAACAGATTTATCTACTGTTTATCTACTTAAATGTCTCTGAGAACTTCACTCAATCTGTTTCTCTCGTAATATAAGGGCAATAATGTTTCCTGACCTATGGTATTGTCTGCACAGGTAATAATCTGTTTTGAAAGGTGTTACTTCCTATTCTGCAATGTGTTCCAGACATGATTTGTCTTCCAGTAAGATTATATACCACCATAACAACATACCCTAGTGCTAATAATGCAAAAATTGTGTTTTGGTTTATTCACTATTCAATTCCTAAAAGCAGCTCAGTTACTCTGCAACCTATATAGTGTTTGGTTTTGCTGCCTATATGAAGGACTTGTGTTTTCTTACAACTTAGTAATAATTTACAAATATTTTTGATTTATGTCATTATTTCAAGCGTTGCTTATTACAGATCCATTCAGTGCTTAAAAATAGTCACTGTATAAAAAAATAAGTGGAACATGTGTAAAATGATCTAAAAATTGGACAAAAGTTAAATTTCCAAACTATCCTGAACTTTAATTTAGCAGGAAAAGACATAGAGCCTTGTTTTGAAAGCTGAAGCTAGATAAATTCAAGTAAATGAAACTAGATATCTTCCAATTAGTAAAAAGGTGTGTAGTTTCACTGTGAGAGTAAACATTAGTTGTGACACATTAGATAGTACTCTGAAACATTATTCTGATCTTGAATTTTCTAAAATGGAAAGAGAAACCATAGGGTTTTTTGCCTAAATTACTAAATTAATGCAGAACAAATGTTATATAAGTCATTTTGGCTTTAGAATCTGTAAATTTTTGAATCTGTGTAATGTTCCCTCTTTCTTTATTATTGTCTGATTGAGTGTTAACCTAATTTATGGTCCTTCGTCTCTAGATGAGGTGGTTGAGTTCTAGCATCATGTTTTCTTCAAGCCTTTAATTAATGGATTTGCAATCACAAGTGTCCTCCCTCTTGTATGGTGATCGGTACTAAGTAAAACATTTAAATATAGGGATTGGAAGACTGTCTTGAAATTATATTGTAAAGTGGGATATTATAGCTAAATGGTCACATCAGATATTATAGCCAAATGGTCACATCTGCAAAGTTATTTCTGCTTGAAATAGAGCACTTGGGCAAAGGGAAAATACACAGCAACTGTGTTTCTGAGAGTGTGAGAAGATGCTTAAAAGGATGCTTAAAAAAAGCTGCTCTTGCAAATATCTGTCTGCTTCTTGCAGTAAGTACTGGGATTTAGAATCACTTGTCTTCTAGATCTCTATGCTTTGCCTGAAGAGGAAGAGGCTAAGAACTGCTATAAGTAGAGAAAGAGTGCTATACAAGTACTTACCTCTTTGCACGATCGTCTGGAAAATAACCTGACTAGTAATAGGTCAAATATATATATCCACATCTTATAAAATTCTAATGGAAATTATTTGCTTTTAGTCCCCAGATCTTGAAGGTGTTACAAAGGGAAGTAGCATCACTGAATCCTAATGTACAATAGTGTAATGGAGATAAAAGTATTGTGAATAATCACTGAGGTAGAATTTGCAGTTGACACTATTTCTTTGCTCTCAATTAAAACTGGGCCTTTCTGTTGAGTGCATAGAAGAGGTGGGGTCAGTCACCTCAGTCACCTGTGGAACTGACACATGCATGCTCCAGCAGTAGGGAGAGTCTGTTGTTTGACCTGCGCCTTATTCAACATATGGGGCAGGATATTAGCACTTATTATCACTTATTAACGCTTATTATGACTTTGCCTCCTCACTTTTCCTAGTAAGCATTTGCATTATCTGCTCTCTGTCTCTCTGTCTCTCTGTCTCTGTCTCTCTCTCTCTCTCTCTCTCTTTCATTCTAGCAGAAATAAAGATTGTATAAGTTACAGGTTTCAGGCATATTAGTGTTGGGTGGAAATGCCTGCTTCTGAGTGTATTTATTGTGTTATATTGGAATTCAAAACCGGTAACTTCGTTTCTCTATTATTTCCCATAGGGTGCAGCTCTGATTCGAATGTTGGCTAGCTTTATGGGTCACTCAGTGTTTCAAATGGGCTTACAAGTAAGTAAAGGCATTTCCATCTTTGTGTAGATGTGTATTTCTAGCAGTTTCTCTTGCTCCCTCTTTTTTCTTTTGAAGCTATATTTGCATCAATTTCTGGAAATGTTTCTTTACCTTAGGACCATCTGAAGTACCACCATGTCCCTGAAACTGAATTTGATTGAAGATGCAGTTTCACCTATATTTCTTGATGTATGAAGTGATTGTACTTCAACTGGCATACAGTTTTGTGTAGAGTGCCACATAAAAGCCACTTTATCCATATGACAAATATGTGAAGGACTAGCTGAGGAAGTAACTACTTCTCTTCACCTGCGTTTCACTGCTGGTCTAACAAATAATAACAATATAAGCCAGCTGGAAAATAAACAGCCCTAAAATGAATAATGCTTTTCAGATAAATATTTTGCCATGCTTTCCTCCATAGCAAAATCCTTGAGCTTTATTTTTACCTTCAATAAGCATGGAGTGCTCTCTGCCTTAACGATGTTTTGAAAACTCACTCTGTCTTTTAAAAGAAATTTGAAGAGGTAACATTTCTATGGAAAGAGAAAGAAATTCAACATGCTGATTACCAAGGATGAACTCCTTTCAGCAATAATTCAGGACAAAGGAGTGTTTTGTAAACTATTTAAAAACAAACAAGCCAAAGCATAAAAAACAATGCAATTCCCTCTATTCCATTGAAATCTGCTTGAGTAAATCATGTTACAGGCAGCTGTGATTGATGAATTATGTATGATACAGCCTGCTACTTAGAAGTGTCCTTTAAAGTAAATTGATGTTCACCTGAAATACAATTATGCTAAGTTGGAAGGAGTAATCAATCTTATCTGTTCTTAGTAAGCTTTTCATTTTGAAATTTAAATAAACTACGTCTAGGATCAGGTCATTTTTTAACAGAATAATTCTACCTCTAACCAAAATAAATTGGAAGATAAAATATAAACCAAAAATTAAATGAATGCATTGGTCATGTCAGAGAGGTATTTTCCATGCAAAGGCAATGAAAGGAAACTTGCTGAGGAAATGCAGCTTTTTGGAGAATTTACAGTACAATCAGGGTTTGTAGCATAACTTACTCATGGGACCAGCTTGATCATTTGCTTAGTTGTAACACCAAGTCAGATCAATTAGATAAATTTCTCATCCAGATGAGAATTCTTTAAATCAGAAGTTTCCTTCATAAAATCTTGTGTATATCAAGGGTAAAACCATCATGTCATTTAAAACAGTAAGACTTCTGTCCTTAGTCTAGCAAACTCCATATTCCAGCCAGAAACTTCTGTTTGGACAGATCCATTCATAGAGGATTTCAGTAGCACTTTTTCCCAGTGGAGTATGTCACTCAGGGTTTTAGAAAAGGAAAGTTTTAGTGTGTACATCTTAAACCCTGTTTTTCTGTTTTCTTCTAAGTTTGCCTGCGAAATAACAGTGTGCAAGTTGTCTTGAAATAGACTGAGAAAAAAGCTCAGATCAAAGAATAGCTATGCAGGGATTAATCATAATTACCCTAAAGTTGTAATGGAGCTTTGGTTTTTGATTTGAATGGTTTCCTATTATTTCTGCTTCTCACTGGTTTGGCTCTGGATAGAAACCATTCTGTTTGCTCATGAAAGTCTATGAAAAATCTAACTGAAAATCTGACTAGTACAAGTCTTGGCATCAGTTCACTAGGAAGATGATGATTTTAACTAAAACCAGTTTGAAATCCAGATAGAGATTTTCCATGTGTATGTTTTCAAGCTGAACAAAATAAAACATAAAGTTCGTAAGTTTTACATAAGCTACAAATTATACAGTTGGAAATATCTGTCAATCATTTAAGTTTTTGCATTTTGCAAATCGAATAAAATACTGTTCCTGCACTGAATATTTGGGGGGCCATAGCTTTGCTAATGACAAGGGAAACTGGAGGACAAATCTACCCTTTCTGTCATGCACTGGTTTAGGCATTTTAGCTCTTTAGCTTGATACCATCACTTCGGTTTTTGAATTATGTTGCCTTGAATCCTTTTTTAACATGGAATTCTAGTATTCAACTAAATGTCATTTCTGTAGAATAGCAAAATTGAATACTACTACTATTTATAAATCTCTTCAGATAACAAATATTCTGAAAATGCACTTGATGGTTCATTCCTCCTGTGTCATTCTAATGACTTGCTGAGTAACTGAGTTCTAAAAGACCTCCACAGCCAGTTTTTCCAGGAGAATGCTGTGGAAATGGTGTCAAAAGCTTTAGTAAGTTTATGTAGACAAAATCCACGGCCTTTCCCTCATCCACAAAGCAGGTCACAGAAGGGGGTCAGGTAGGTCAAACAGGACCTTTCTTACAGCATGCTGGCTGGGCCTGATGCCCTGGTTGTCTTGCATCTGCCGTGTGATGGCACTCACGACAATCTGCTCCATGACCTTCCCTGGCACTGAGGCCAGGCTGACAGGCCTGTCATTCCTCAGAGCATCCTTCCAACCCTTCTTGTAAATGGGTGTCACATTGCCCACCTCTGGTTGTCTAGGACTTACCCGGTGAGCCAGAACTACTGGTAAATGATGGAAAGTGACTTGGTGGACACTGCTGCCAGCTCCCTCAGGAGCCTTGGATGGATCCTGTCCTTTCCAATAGACTTCTGTGTATCTAAGTGGTGTAAAAGACTGCCAACCATTTTCTCTCAGATGTTTGGTGCTTTAGTTCTGCTCTCTATTTCTGTTGTCCAGCTCAGGGGGCTGGGTACCCAAAGAACAATTGGTCTTACTATGAAAGACTGAGACTAAGAAGGCATTAAGTACCTCAGCCTTTTCCTCATTCTTTGTCACAATGCTGTTCCCCATGTTCTGCCAAGAATGGAGATTCTCAGCCCTTCTTCTGTTGCTAATGTATTTATAGAAACATATTTTTAATGTGTTTTACAGCAGTGTCTAGATAAAGTTCTACTTTGGCTTTGACTCTTCAAATTTTCTGCCTGCAGAACCTCACAATGCCCTTGTAGTCCTCCTGAGTTGCTTGCCCCTTCTTCCAAAGGTGATAAACTTGTTTTTGTTATCTGAGCTCCAGACAAAGCTCTCTGTGCAGCCAGGCTGATGGTCTTCCCCACTGGCTTGTCTTTCAGCATGTGGGGATGGCCAGCTCCAGCACCTTTAGGATTTCTTAAATATGTTCAGCATTTCTGGACTCCTTTGCTCTTCAGGCAAAAACCCAAGGGGCTCTCTCAAAGAGTGTCATAAACAGGCCGAGGTAGCAGTTCTGCTGACCCTTCTCCTAATTTCTCCAGGAATTGAAAAATGCAACTCTGTCATTTCATAATTGCTGAGCCCAAGATGCCTTCCAATCTTCATGTCACCCCCCAGTCTTTGTTCACAAACAAGAGCTCCTGCAGGGCTGCTTTTTTAGTTGTCTTGCTCAGCAACTGTGTCTGGAAGTTAACTTCCACACACACCAGGAACCTTCTCTATTGTTACCTCTCCACTCTATTATATTTCCAGTATTATTTCAATTCTTTTTAATGTATTAGCTATGTCCTTAAGTGTTTAACAGATGATAAAAAAGAGTAATTCTGAGGTCTTATTAAAGTAGCATAAACAAAAATGACTAGTTCTTTATTTGTGTTTGATTTGTTTGTGGTTTCATCCAAATCAAGGCATGATTCATCGTCTTATTAAGAGCTAAAGAATTAGAGCTTTAATATAGGAGACACTACAACAGACAAGGTGTAACTTAACTTTGGGTTAGGGAGAGGAAAAAATAAGGTTTAGAACAAGAAGCAAAGATGATTGCTACCTTATTTGTTAATTGCTTGTTTTTTCTTACTCACTTGGCATGTGGACTTTTTAAATAGCCGGTGGAGACAGGCTGGGGGTGAAAAATCCCTTATTTGTCAAAGAAAACAATCAATTGCATTAAAAAGAAGAGAAAAGTTGATGGAGGAGAATGAGGTTCTTTGGTGGATATTTTTTACCAATAAATATGATCTGATGGAAATGTACAAATGTGCCTGTGATCTGTAACAGTTTAGCAAACTGTTCTGTTAAGGAGTCTGCAAGAAAGTAAAACTCTGGTAGAAGTGCTTATTTTTACAGTGTAGATGTCTTTGTAGAGATTCATATCTGTCAAAAATAAATGGACTGTTCCTATGATGGTAAATATACTTGAAAGGGCATTTGATTATACAATAAAGCTGCATCCAAGAGACTAGTGAAGGTAGGATTTTTGAAAAGCCCTTCAAAGATGTGATGTCTTGAATTATATGACATTTCAAACAGAAGATTTAGTTACAGACAGAAAATTCTTACTGTAGCACTCTGTAGGTAAAAGCAAAAGAGAATATATTTCTATTGGCTGGAATGAATAATTGAATAATGACAGTAGTAGCCACAGCTGGTAACACTTGCATATGAGAAAGTTACAGCTATTATTTTTGTAGAAAATGTCTAATAAATCCTTCCTTCTCACAGCAGGTGATTTATGTCTTTTTAAAAGTTCTGGCATCTTTCATGATGTGCAGTTTCTTATGCTCCAGGAAAATTCAAGAAGTGCACATCACTGAATGCCAGTACTCTTCTTACAAAATGGTGTTGCTTTTCAGTCAAAAAGCTATTAATCAGGTAAGAAGGTAGTTAGAATATGACGAGGCTTGGTCAGCACCACTTGCTCTGATTATGTTTCTGATCTGCACAAACTGATAGAGGTAGAAGCCATAAGTTGGCTTTGTCTTTCAGTCATCGCTCAGGGTGGTAACATGCAATACGATACTAGGTCTGTGTGAGATTTTCTTCTGTAGGCTGTTGTTCCAACTCTGTGCCTGAAACAAAAGGTTTCTTACATGTCTGGTGTCACTGGATTGCATTTTTGGGAAGATTTTACTGCGTTACGACAATGCATCTCTTCAAGTATTCAGTGCTTGGTTTTTATTTTTTTCAAATTAAATAGAGAGAGAAGTACCAGTGATTTGAATGTTTGGTAGATGTGTTTTAAAAGGCACCTCCAGTGCTGTAATGAAATA